CCATCCATCCATCCATCCTCCATTCAACCAACCATCCATCCATCCATCCATCATCCATCCACACAATTATCCAACTACATCCATCCATCCATCATCCATCCACACAATTATCCAACTATACATCCATCCATCCATCCATCCATCCACACAATTATCCAACTATACATCCATCCAACCATCCATCTATCTATCCATCATTTATTCAACCATCCTTCATCCATCCATCCATCCATCCATGACTCTTTGCTCCAGTGGTTTAGTTGAATTTCCCTTCCCTCCAGTTTCCCACTTCCCTGTCTTCAGTGCCTCAGCGGCAGAACGCCATGGCGCAACGATGGGAGGCCACCCTGTTAGCCAATCAGAAGGAGGAGTAGGATATTTGCTGCCACACATGTTCCATCCTCACCGTGTCCAGGAGAATCAGGAGGTCTGAGYTTGGTCCTGCCAGCAGCCATTGTCTTTGTTATTTTCAACGCTGCATATTAGATGCCAAGATGGATGAAATGTCAGTTTTGTACATGTGAAGAAGTGTGACGTGTGCTTTACTGCTAGCTTTCTTTGAACTGTAACAGTAAATGACCTGCTTTAGGTTACTGTGTGTTTTAAAGTTCAAATGTTTACATGCAATCACATGGAACTGCCACACACTGTTCTTCAGTCTCTCCTGGTTTCTGCACACTGCCACATGTGTTTCATAAAAGGGATGGGGCACAGTTTAACTGTAGTTCTCCTACAACATGTAACCATTAGTCCAATCACATCACAGTATGTGTTATTCTACAGGTAATATTTGTCACATTTTGATTTGTAGGAAGTTATGGTTATTGCACAATTGTTTCTTTGATGTTTCATGTTTTTTATGAATGACYTACTCTAATGCAGTAATTTACAAATGTTTCCTGAGGAGTCACATTTTCATGTTAATTTTGTTTTGTATAAAATGTTATATATATTGCATATTTAATCAGCCGCTTTTGAAGTATTATCTATATGCAGGGATTGATCACATGAGTGCAAAACTTAGCATGTTCTACACATTTGGACTGACAGTTCTTGTAAACGATGAGTGTGGAAATGATTGATGAAGTGAAACACTTCTGAGCCACTTTGGATGTTTCCCACTTGAGTGTTTTCTCAGTGTTGTGACACGGTAAAACATTTAGCTCAGGACTTTAGTTATACTTCTCGAGTCAGCTGTTAAGTTTTCTTATATTTTTGAATCCTAAAGTTATATACTATAGAGCAGTGGTTTCCAAAGTTGGGCTCGGGACCCTACTGTGGGTCATGAAACATCTGGTGAGGTTTCCCAGATCATGTCAGACATCAATTTAAGAGCAAATAATTTGTTAATAGAATCAAAAAGAAAAAAAATACGAAGGTCCTCTGGATGGGTTCCTGTCTATAAGAACCTGTCCAGAGGACCCCAGAGGGCCTATATACGTACACACACACACACACACACACACACACACACACACACACACACACACACACACACACACACACACATATATAT